TACAAAAGTACATGTCGTCCGTCCGAGGCTTTAGTGCTGATAGACAAGTCTATCGTTCGTATGGTTACCATGGACAGTGCCGATCTAGAGAGAAGTTATTCCCGGGAACAGCAAGGCTTAGGACCGGGGCATGAGGCTATCACATCGCCGGTCGCTCTTGTCCGGAGTTTTACATCGAAGAGTCAGAAAAGCTCAAGAAGTTGGCAGAGCTCGAGGAATCACAGTACGCATGCTCATTCTCAGTGTGATGTTGGGGCTAGTTTCCACTAACGGGTCAACATAGCCGGCGTAGAAAGTTCGCGTGCTGCGCGATTGAGGGAACTTGGAAAAGATGTCGACGATTCTTCCGATGCTGAAAAGGAAGACGCAATTGAGAAAGTTGCGTCGCGAACACCATCAACGCTTAGTTCGCCCGGAAGATCAAATGCTTCTTCGGTAATGTCGAGCGTTGACGATAGCCATGCGAGTGGCCGACGTGTTATTCGCTTTGAAGACGGAGATCCCGAAAACCCCAACAACTGGGGTCGTGTGAGTTGATGTGCGGTACTAAAAGCGATACAAGGCTGATGAGAAATGAAGTGGAAGAAGATCTACGCCCTTCTCGTGGCCATCATGAGCGGCAAGTAACCCCGTCCGACTTTTATAGCTAGGAGAGCTGACCTGTACATAGTCATGAACAGTACCATGACCTCGAGCCTAGCAGCCGGTGCTGCAGTCCCTATATCCCGTCACTTCAACGAGTACGATGAGTATAAACTCATTTTGCCGACTTCAATGTACCTTGTCGGCTATGCATGCGGTCCTATGCTTTGGGGCCCACTGTCGGAATCGTACGGCCGCAAGGGAACTATGGTAATTTCTTTCGGCATTTTCACAATCTTTTCGGTCGCTTCAGCTCTTGCACCGAACTTTGCAGCGCTAGTAATCTTCAGATTGCTGGTTGGCGTGGGAGGTAGCTGTGCCATCAGCGTTGTTGGTGGTATATGCGCGGACATATATCACAACCCCAAGTATCGTGGTAGGAGTATGGCTATCTTCATGGTAAGATGATTTCGCTAACAACGAATATCCTATGCTCATCTTTTACAACAGGCTGCGACAACCTTTGGCCCGATTCTAGGCCCCTTGGTATCAGGCTACATTGCAGTCGTCTCTTGGAGCTGGGCCTTCTGGGTTGGAGCTATATTCGCCGGCGCAACATGGCCGTTGTTCTACTTCTTTGATGAGACATATGGTCCAACAATCTTGAAGCGTCGGGCTCATCGGTTACGCAAAGAAACTGGTGATGAAAGGATCGCAGCACCGCTGGAATTAGAGAAGACAGATTTGAACCACATCGTCACTGTCATCTTGACTAGACCGTTGCGCATGATCTGCTTCGAGCCTTTGGTATTGTTCACTTGCTTGTACCTGAGTTATGCCTGTAAGCCAATTTTCTTCGCTGATACGCGACGGTAGCGATGTGCTGATACCTCTCTTCCAGATGCCATTTTTTACATATTTTTACAGTCCTATCCCATCATATTCCAAGGCATCTATCACTTTAATGCTGGAGAGACCGGCATTGCATTTCTCCCCATTGGCGTCGGTGCAGTCATCTCTGCTGGTATCTACCTTTCTTGGGACTGTACGTATCTTCCACATACTAACTGTGTGTGAAACGTGCACTGACTTTGCACGTTGAACATTAGGGTACCTGGCACGCTCTCAACGTCTTAATCGGCCTTGGTCACAGAATGAAGAGATGCGTCGTCTACCTCTAGCATGTATAGCAGGTCCATTTTTCGTCATCAGTGCGTTTTGGCTTGGCTGGACAAGTAGAGAAGGCATACATTGGATCGTGCCTACTCTTGCCGGCATCTTGTTTGGCATGGGTTACCTGTGTCTATTCATGGCGCTACTCAATTACCTCGTTGACGCATACGAAGTTTTTGCTGCAAGGTAAGTTGTAACTATACCAAATATATACCAGACTTCACTAAACCGTATCTTCACAAATGTAGTGCAATGGCCGCCGCCTCATTATCCCGGTCTTCTTTCGGTGCTGTGCTGCCGTTCGCTGCAAAGCCGATGTATAGGGCTATGGGTGTGGCGTGGGCGACGAGTCTACTAGGCTTCTTTAGTCTGGCGCTTTGTGTTGTGCCATTTGTGTTTATAAAGGTAAGTTACGGTTGTACGTCATTCACTCGAGACATGTACTGATCTCATGTCTTTGACTTTGTAGTGGGGTGGTACGATGAGGGATCGAAGTAAATTCTGTCAGTATTTGAGGCAGAAGAAGATGGAAGAGGAGAAAGAGAGGGAGAGCGAAAGAGCGAAGGAGAAAGAGCGAGCGAGATTGATGGCCAATGAAGTCAGCGCTGAGACAAACGAGATCAAGGCGAAGGAAGATGTGTAGGCTATGATTGAGTTGCAGCATCTACATGCTTCACACTGCAAACGACGACGTCATAGTAGCTGGCTGTAGACGCTCCTCACGCTGTACTTAAGGACCACACACCACGTAGCTGGTTCGGGTCTCAGATGTCAGCTTGCTTACTTAACTATATCAGAGGACTCTACGGCACTACACTCATCCTAACCCGCATATAGAACACCGGTCACTGTCGGCCACAAGAACTCTTTTGTTTCGCGATGTTAGAACGTGATAGGAGGTGGCGAAAAGATCAGACCGACAAATCACTCAACGATAGAATCTCCTCACCTCGATATATCTCATTCCAGCATAGACAATAGCAGCAAAAGAGAAAGCAAGCCATGTGCCGATATCGCCACCATAATCACCAATCATCGCTGCAACTGGCCCAGTGTACAAGGTCTGTCCCGTACCAACTACAGCGCCTACCACACCAAAACAAAACGACAAAATGGCTGCGATGCCCATTGATAAGGTCCTCGGATCATTCCAGCCGGTAAGACCGTACCCACGTACTGGTCGAAAGATGACCGATTCCTCAAAAATGAGGACGAAGTAGACGACGGACCAGTATCCAATGACAGCGCCCGAGTTGGAGATGATATCGTTGAGGGAATTGTATCCTACGCACGCAACCACACTATGAGAAACATCAGCTGGAAGCCACGACAGACGAAGCAAGTATTAGGGAGCTTACATGGTCACGACAACACTGAGGAATGTGTAGATGAACCTTGGTAGCTTCGCTGGCCATGTGCCAAATAATTGCATCGAAAAATCGATCGAATACAAGTTGAAGACGTTGTTACTCATCATACTAAACGACAGCACGAAGAGAAGCAAGTATCTAACGTTTCCGAGTGGTCGTAGCACGTACTCGATCAGCGCGGCAGACTAACCATCGCTATTGGCGAATGTAGTGGCCCACTCCGCATTTGACCAGAGCGCTGACGCGAATCCAGCACCACAGATTATAGCGAAAGCTGGCAGCATCCGGATCCCGGAGGCGGCAATGGCGAATATTTCCCACGACGGTGTTTCTACGGGAAAGTATACATAGTAGTCTGCTGAGGCGGCCACCCAACTTGAACCACAACTAAGAATTATGGCTGCAAAGGAAAGCCCAAGGCTAACTTGTGTACTTCTAGATTCGATGATAGGGGAGGCCTTCATAGTGAAGCTTTAAGCTCCAACGGCGTAAAGGCTGATGAAAACCTACACACGGTTAGCATGTAGGCTTCGAAACATGATCAGCTTACCCACAATCATGAGAAATATCCAGGCTATGGGTTCATAATAACGAACGTAGCTGAATCCAGCCGTCGCGATGGTCCAGCTTAAAATACCGATGATGAAGATGCCTCATATAATACGGAGATTTCTTTTTGACATCACACCAAGCGTTTGACCTCCTTGTATACAGGCCTGAAATCCGAATATCATCTCGGTCAAAATGTTGAGAACAAACATGATCATCTTTGCACAATGACCGAATGTGTAACGCGAATTCACGAGGGCGCGACGGCCATGTTTTTTGCCAAAGGTCGTCAAGTATCCAGAACAGCATGTACCAAAACCTAAAAGCGTCCATGTGATAGCGGCAGTCTGCCTATATGTAAGATTGAACACTGACGGCCCTAGAAAGCCAACCGTGAACGTAGATATTGTCAGACCTGCGGATGCTCTGCGGGAAATCAGGATGGTTTGGGCTTTCAAAAGTACAAACGTACCATGTCAAGGACAGACCCCATATCGATTGCTTGGAACGTTCCTGTGGAAGTACATGCTGAAAACCTCTCGATTCGATCCCATATCCTTCCAACCATCTGGAGATTGCACCGAGAGGGCCGGTATACGTGTCAGAGATATTAATTGTGTGGCCTTCCTCAGTGGATATGGAGTTATCGACACCAATGCTCGTCGTCTTCTCCTGCGTGTTCACTCAGTTTCGTCGCTCAAGATCAGCCATTTTGAAGAGACGAGAATCGTTGCAGTGAACATCTTGCCGGACTTCGCACCTGGCTTATAAGCTGGCAGTAGCTGTGCCAACTTCAAATATCAGGAACTCTGGTCGTCCCGAGGTAAGACGTACTCAGTAGACCTGAGCTAGGAATAGGGCATGGAGGATTAGGTGGAGATAACGATAATTGATATCTGCTGATATGCAGCCCGACTGCCACTAGTCGAATGCATTGTGCCCAGGTATACATCGATGAAGAGTTTCAAATGCTTTTGTTCATTGACCTGAATGAGGAAGTCGCCAGCGGTTTTAGACCAAATGTACCTCGTATCATCGAGCCAATGCTCGACTCTGTAACACCCAACGTGAGCTTTTGACCAGCCGGGAGTATCTCTCTTTGGCCGGTCGACTTCGCTCTGTATTACATAGCCTCCAGCCAATATTCCACCTGTTCTGCTATTCTGAGAGACAATCAAGCTTTGCCACATTGAGGCAGTCGTACAGCATCAGTGCTATCAGTCTCATGGATTATCGAGGTATCATGGTTTGTATTAGGAAAAGGGGAAGCCCGCTAATGTACTTGTCGATCGGACGAGAACGTCCATATCGGTAGAGTGTGAGCATATGAGGCATAAAGCATTTGGTACGTATCATGGTTAGCGTCAGTGGGGTCTTGATAATGAACAGGAAGCCCGATTGACTCTCACTTTTCGTAGGCATGTGGCTACCAGTATACCCATCTTGACACTTCATGCATTTTGTCTTCCGCTGATGCCTCTATCTAACAATCCTGTGCCAACAATCACAACGATGACGACGTTCCCCACTCCCAACATCCCGTTTACATACTCCTGCAGCGTCGCTGTCATCAATCCCGGACGAGATCCTTGCAGGTATCAGGGGAGAGGAATTCGTATGGGAAGGAACGCAGCACATTCCTAACTTCAAAGACGGGTCAACCGCATACTGGCAAGAATGCCTTGCACTCGCACCCCGTCTCATTCGCGTCTTTGCTCTGGCCCTCGACCTCGATGAGGACTACTTCGACGATCTGGTCACACATGTAAGTGTGTCTTTACAAGATGCATGTGTGACATAATCTGATTCCATGCCTCCGCATTCAAGCCTGGAGACGATGGTGTATGTAACTTTTACGCGGGAAAATCCCCTGCTGAAGCTGCAGTGTCCAAGGATGTTGGGCTGGGCTCTCACAATGACCGTCTGTGCTTTACTTTGCTGTGGCAGGACTTGACTGGCGGCCTACAAGTGCTGACTCGAGGAGGACGGTGGACTGGGGCGACACAAATTCCTGGCACGTTTGTGGTCAATATCGGATACTTCCTTCAGCGTGTAGGCAATGATCGATCTGTGAGCACCGTGCATAGAGTGTCTTCGAGAGCTCAAGAACATCGCATCAGTATGCCTTTCATCTTTGGCTTCGATGTCAACGAAAAGGTTGGTGTACTAGACAGTTGCATCGCGGAGGGTGAGGTAGCAAGGTATGAGCCCGTGAGCTGTGGAGAGGTATGACCAGACCATGCTACGTTATTCCAGCTGTTCGTGCTAACATGCTTCTCAGTGGGTGCGGACTGGATCCAATCAGTTGGACTCGAGTAAAAATGACTGGAATATAGCTATCGCGGAAGCTCGGGCTGCGAACACCCAGGGAAGTAGTTGATGTTGTAGAACCAGAGCAAGGCGTTTTTTGACTCCTCATATGTCAACATGAGTACTGAGCAGCACCGACACTACTTGAATCTTGATCGATCGACTCGTCCCATGGTCTTGATTGTATTTAAGACTGATGGCCTGTGACACAACATACATAAATATAGATTTGTTGATCTCCAGTGTTCCAAAGCCTTGGGAAACCCCAGAGAAGCTCGCAATTGCCTTGCTCATCAACACAACCTGATCAATCCAAGGTTGTCCTTAATATAATCTGATCACATGATGCTCAGTGCAAAGTCGATAAATCAAGCCAACTAGCAAGAAGGGTGAATATACCTCTAATTAGGGAGATTTCTAGCCGAGAAAAAGTTGTAGATGTAGAACTTCTAGTCATTTGAGGGAGTCATCAGGAAAGTACGAAGTTGTCAAACAATATGCAGAGAAAGGAAGAATCTGAAGTAGATGCTTCTGACGCAGGAGTAGATAAAAATGCGGGTATATTCATGACATCGTGCTGAGCTTGGCGTCTGGAGCTACCTCATAACCGGTGGTCTTGCCTCCTTGTTGAAAGCCATCCTGCTGCATAACCATTCGACCGCCTCCTGCACGCCAGTTCCTGTGAGAGCACTGCACGGGAGTACTCTGCTGTCCCTCACATTGCCACCCTTTTCTCCCTCGAACACTCTCCTCACAAAGCCTTCTTTGATCCGGACTACTTCGACACAATCTTCACGATCTTGTTTATTGGCGAGTATTAGAATGGGAACGCCGCTAGCATCTTCGTTGGCCAAGACGCTCTCTAGAACCATCTTGCACTCGTCCAGGCGCCCGATATCCTCTATGCTTGCTGCATTGTTCGCGCTCATATCAGCAAGAGTAGCGTTGCCGACATCGCTGCTGTCTATGACGAAGACGATAGCATGGCAGCTACTGTAGTAGGATTGCCACAGCCCACGAAGGCTGTGTTGGCCACCAACATCCCATATCTTGAGGTATATTGGTGGATTTGGAGGAGGAAGCGCGATGGTAGCAACATTCTGTCCGACCGTCGGGACAGTTTTGAGGTTGGGGTGGGAAGGCGTGTAGGTGCCTTTTATCTGCTCAAGCAGCGTTGTCTTGCCGGCATTGTCGAGACCGAGGAGAAGAACCGAGTACTCTGGGGTCTGTTAGACTTGTCTTGGTGGTTGCGGAGACTTGAATGCGCACCTTCCTTACTCGTGGCATGGAGATATATGGACTTGAAAAGGTGATACATATTTTGCGCGACGCGTTCAGTCGGCGCGCGCTTCACATGGTGGACGGGTGACGATCATGTACGGCGCGCGGTTGATCTGGAACGTGTCGTCCGCTATCGATAAGCACCGAGCGACTGATCAACACAACGGCATTCTTCATTCCGCCTGAGCTTTCATCACAGGCTCTACAAGTTGAGCTCTGTCTGGGCGGCGATTGGATCATATTGCAAGCGATTGGTGTTGTCGCGCTTCTACTGTGTAGGATTCACCACGTTTGACGACTGATGGCGCAAGGGACCTTGCGAATGTAATGTCCAGGAATAGTCAAGGACTCGTCTGATGTGACGAGCTGCGGGTGAAGTTAGTCTAAGATGTTGAGTGTGGTGCTGCTATGTCGTGGGCTACGTCGTTCACTCATGTTCTTCTTTGGCTGATTTCAATCGCTTTCCGCACAAGAGCAGGAGCCAATCGAGTGAAGCGTGCATGTGACATGCAAGAGCGAGACTACGGGAACTCTAGCCACAGCATGACATCACCTGGGCACCGCCATGGTGGCACCTTGACCACATAGCAGAACTGGCCCCAAGTAGCGCCTAGACGCGTATATTGTGTTGCCGCGGGTGCCGTGCATTACGTGCAGCGATTGCTGGCAGTGCATCTTATCTGGAGGAAAGTGAGAGGTTCGGCGCTAAATGCCCGACTGGTGCAGTTGATCGCCGGGAAATCGGACGTCCAACGAGGTCATCTGCAGCTTGCTCCCACACACATGCACACATCAGAGGGGCACGTCCAGCACTGTGATGCATCTTTGCTCGCACTTAATAGTTGCCATCGTACGGCGGCCGATTCGTGACGTGGGCAGATAGATAGCCTCGCAGTTGACTGTTTGAGCTGTGACCATACGAGCTCACCCGAAACAAGGTTGAGCTACAGATGGTCTGACTGGCTGCCCTTGCACCTGTCGAAACATTTGGAGCTCTTTGCACAGCGACACCACCATGGACGATCGGACGCCCACCGGAGGCAAGGCGAAGCTGTCGCCCGAGACGTCGCGCCGGAGCAGCACCTATGGCACAGGCAGCGACACGCCTACGCAGAGCGCGTCAGGCACGGATTCGGCGCGCAGACGCCCGCAAGCTGCCATGCAGCCCTCTGGCTATGGTAAGAGCTGCGTCCCGACAGCCAGAGAACAGCAGAGTGGACGAGGCTGACGCGACTACAGGCTCCATCACGTCTGCAATCGAGCGCCGCCAGCAGAACGCGACGACATCCGAAGGCTCGACCAAACCCAAGAAGCCGCCCATGAGCCGTCGCGCGACATCGTCCAAGTGGCCACAGAAGGGCCAGGAGTTCAGTGTCGACGACGCCGAAGAAGAAGTGGAGCTGGACCAGGCCCAGCAGGACCAGCAGAAGAAGCAGCGACAGACGCCGCTGCGTCGCAAGCCATCGACTGTCCGGCGCCGCACCGCCGCACCGCCGCCCAACCTAGCCACCATCGACTCGACCGAAGACGATGAAGCCGGGCAGGAGACTGCTGCTGCGCCAACGGCCGCTGATGCCGACGCCACACCCTCGTCCAGTGAGGAGACGGTACAAGCTGAAGACGACGAAGACGAAAGCGGAGGCGGCGATGAAGAAGACGACTTGAGCGATGCAGAGAGCTTTACCCTCCGCGATCGCCAGGACGCTATCAACGTCACGCATCCCTTCGGTATCAGGATCTGGAAGCCCGCCCTCTATAAAAAGGGCCGTTCGGTGCAGCGGAACGCTGAAGCAGACATTCATTCATCGCCAGGTCTCTACGTCAGTAGATGGCTGCTGCTCTTCAACATTGCCTGGACCCTCATCTTTGGTTGGTGGTTGGCTGTCGTCGCCATGGCCGGTGGTTTGCTATGCGCCCTGCTAGGCTTTAATGAGAGCTGCAAGGAATACTCTCGCCTGCTTTTCCACCTTGCCGGCTATCTATTCTATCCTTTCGGCAAGTACGTCAAGCTCATGCAGGATGAGGCTTACATAGAAGAGGACGAAGGGGAGGGTCGTAGCATCAGCGAGTACGAGCAGTGGCAGAGCGGTGATATCGAAGAGGGGCGCCTTTTCTTTGGTCCAACAACCGGTACGAGCTCTCTAATAGGCCGGAGACGCAACAGCGTTGATTCTGCCGGCGGAGAAACGACAAGCTTGCTTGGCAGAGATGGACGAGCCAATGTTCTTCATACCGATACTGCCAACACTAAAAGAAGGCTGTTTGGCCGTGGCAAGTGGAATCTTGGTCGAGTTGTCTTCTTCCTATTCTTCTACGGTTTCCTTACACCTTCGCTGTTCCTCGTCTCGGCCCTGTGTTGGTTCCTTGTTTTTACAATACCTATGGGCAAGACTACACTGCTGCTGTTCGATCATCTGCGGCGTCACCCTCTAGCCCTCTCGTTCCATTCTGATAACGGCAACGTGCGCCGTCCTGGAGAGTCGTCCTCGATACTTCTCTGCACCTACCGCGCAGTTGGAATCAAATACTGGAAGTACACCATTGATGGAACCAACATCTTCCTCATCAATCTCCTTGGCTTAGTGGCCTTTACCATCTTCGACTACTTCGTCCTAGCCGAGGCCCTGGAGATGAAGTTTTGGTTGACAGACCAGTTCCTGCTGTTCACCCTTGCCTTGTTGTCCATCATCCCGCTCGCATACTTCATTGGTCAAGCCGTAGCATCCATCTCAGCTCAATCCTCCATGGGTGTAGGCGCCACTATCAATGCTTTCTTTTCTACGGTAGTCGAAGTATTCCTCTATTGCGTGGCGCTTAAACAGGGCAAAGCCCAGCTTGTCGAGGGAAGTATCATCGGTAGCATCTTTGCTGGTATCCTGTTCCTGCCAGGCTTATCCATGTGCTTTGGTGCTTTGAAGCGTAAGACACAGAGGTTCAACGTCCGCTCTGCTGGTGTCACCTCGACTATGCTCCTGTTCGCCGTCATTGGCGCTTTTGGTCCAACACTGTTCTACCAGATCTATGGAAGCGTAAGTCTTATCCCGACGTCCTCCATTGCCCCGCTAAAACTTATCAGCATGAGCTCAACTGTCACCAATGTGTGCACTCTAGCCGACATGTGCCCCTCGAACGAGACTGCCGTAGATGCTATTACTCACAGACACCTGCATTGAACGATCGCTTCTATAATGAAGCTGTCAAGCCTTACACTTGGTTTGCGGCTACTATGCTCTTCTTCTCCTACATCATCGGTCTTCTATTCACTCTTCGAACTCATGCTGCTACCATCTGGACTGAACCAGATGCCCAGGAGAAGAAGATACTTGAAATGAGCGCAAGTAGCCTTAGCCAAAGCGGTCATATGGATTACCCTCACTCCTCGTTTGTCAGACAAGCGACTGGGCAGTCCGTCTCCCGTGCACACATTCGCGACAGCCAGTTGTACAAGCGTATGGTCAGCCAGACTTTGCAGGAGGTTGGGCTTGGACCAGAACAAAACTTCTCGGACGACAGGCGGCCGGCCTCCAAATCGGACAGCCACACCCCGCATATGGTACCACCTAAAGACAGTGATGCACATTCACATCACTCTTTCCACGTTGAGGGTCTTACAGATGATGCTGCTCAGTCACTTGCGCGACAAATCACAGAAATCGCGGCAACTACAACAGCTCTGGCAACGCGCGATGTTACTAGGGCTCCACGCAAAGCTGCCCAACTTGCTCATACATCGACCAAAGCGCACGTTGAGCGCCCAATTCATACAAGAACAAACACGGAGGCTGCGCCCGAAGAGGTCGATACAGCCACTGGACACGCTTCTGGAGGTCACGACGCACCGAATTGGAGCCGACAGAAAAGTGCAGCTATTCTTCTAACGGCGACTCTAGCATATGCCATCATTGCTGAAATACTCGTCAATACCGTGGATGGCGTGCTTGAGGGCTCAGATATCGACGAGAAGTTCTTGGGCATCACGCTGTTCGCGCTGGTGCCTAACACAACAGAGTTTCTAAACGCCATCTCTTTTGCCATGAACGGCAACATCGCCCTCTCGATGGAGATTGGCTCTGCATACGCTTTGCAAGTTTGTCTCCTCCAGATTCCGGCCCTCGTCTTTTACAGTGCCATACACACGAGCTATATTCCCGCCCAAGACGCTGCGAGCCAGACGTTCACTCTCATCTTCCCTCAGTGGGATATGATAACTGTTATACTCTGTGTGTTTCTCTTGTCGTACATGTACGGTGAAGGCAAAAGCAACTACTTCAAAGGCTCTATACTGATCTTGTCGTATCTTGTGGTCATTGCTGGGTTCTATCTGTCTGGCTTCAACGATTTCCAGAAGATGGGAGTTGATCCAATGGACACTTTAGCGTTGGGGGGCTTGGTCGAGCAGCAGGTGCAGTCCATGACGTTCAGAACACCTTCAAGGGGTCGTAGTGGTGTTGCATATTAGAGCATCGTGTTTTGGTGTCTACATATGCTGGAGGAAGATTAAGAGAACACTAATGACTGTCTGTATTTGACAGAAGGTTACACACACGGTACATAGCGTAGGCGTAAAGGAAAAATTGGTACATTGGGTCTAGCTAGTAATGAATTGCACATAATGTGGCGTAGATGCTCAACCTTTTCATGGAAAGATCCCACTAGGGTTTACAGATATCACTCCGAATCAAGTTTGTGACCGTGATATTAGAGGGTCTCTTTCACATGCAGTTTGAGGTGCGACAAGAGATAGCGCATATAGCCCAGCTAATCAAACCACGACTGCGAAGATGGACAAGGCGGTCAGATGGGATATCCTTGGACGTCAGGTTTGGAGTAAGATGTTGCTGATGCTTATAGCCTCACGATACATCGAGCCGGCCCGGGGGGTGACGCTCAGCCATGGGGCTGACGACTGCATCGCAGCAGCATACCATAGGTGTGAGCAGTGAAGATGGGCGGAGTAGGGCGGATATGTCTAACAGGTCACGATGCGACGACAACAGCAAGTAGCAGCCGATCAAGTGGGGCAATGCGGCGATTTAACGTGGGTGGGTTGGAGAAACGGTTGCAGGTTGCGCGCCTATGGTGCGGCAGTCTCGGAGTGGCACGTTTTAGTGGGTCGCCAGCGTCAGCGGGTAGGTATGAGAAGATCAATCGATACGCCATGGCAATCCGCGCCTCTCCGCCGAGGCTTCAATCGACCCTCTTTTACTATATGAATATCTTTGTCGCTGTTTGACCTTCGCGCGCGACATGATAGTGGGAAAGCGCGACATCTGTCACCTCGTATAATCGCTTTGGATCGTCGGGTGCTTCTCAGGGCCGACACCAGTGAAGCCGCACCCCCGCGCTCGCGACCAACTCTCCATGGGGCGTCGGACCTGGTGTGCTGGTCATCGATAAGAAGGACCCCCAGCCCGTTCGTGCCTGGGGCGCGCGATATTCCTTTTACACGATTCGCGCCGCATCCACGCTACTTGTCGAGATGCTGCTCGTGCCACCTTGCCGCCTGCCGTGGCAGTTGGCGTGTGTCTTGTTTGCAACCGTCTCCGCGGCTACCATCTCCTCCACCAACACTTCTACCGCGCGTCCAAATCTCTACGATGGCACATTACCGCTTGCTGATGCGCAAGGCGACGGAAACACGATTGCCGAGTTGATCCCATTGACCCAGGAAGCCGCTAAATCAGTTCGTCAAACACTGCGTGTCGCACAGCTTTTCATGCGCTGACTAGGACCAGGTGAAGGGCAACCTATACAATACAAATTACTCCAGCGCTGCTCGAATCTCCAATGACGAAATCGCGTACATCAGCTGTAACATCAACGACTACAACGGCTTCGACACTCCGCAGAGCGTCTTCGAACGGGCTTATACCCAAGCCAACATATCGGCTGTCATACTGTACAGCACGGCGTCCAACTACTGCAACTACACGCAGGACAGCGCGCAAAACATGATCGAGGAGTTTGCTGTATACTCAATGACGAACAAGGAAGATTCAGCGAAGATACTCGGCGCCATCATCGACCTGCCTGCCTACATGAAGTACTTTGTGCAAGTCGAAGGCCGGGATGAGGGAAGCAATAGCGCCGGTGGTAGCAACCAATACCAGCAAAACCCACTTGGTCCTTCGCCGTCCACTGCTGTTGCCATGATCATTCTATACAGTATCACAGGAATCATCACAGCTTTATTCCTCGTCATCATCATTACTGGCGCTGTGCGCGCGCACCGGCATCCGGAGCGATATGGTCCTCGAAACGTCCTTGGCCGACCAAGGCAAAGCAGAGCGAGGGGGTTAGGGCGAGCTATACTGGACACAATACCAATCGTCAAGTTTGGGGAGAAGGAGTCTGCGAAACCTGCCGACGTTGAGTTGGGACCAACAGCAGAGACGGCAGATGTAAATCGTGCAAACGTAGATACTGAAGTACCTAACAGCTTAACCACAACTACGAACCACGAAAATAACACGCCGGATACGTTGCCCGACTCAACGAGGACGATACAAGCTGCGACACCAAGACTATCGGAAGAGCATCAGTCAGGCATCGCACCTGCACAGCCCGCTGCCACAGGCGTGGGGGCGGGCACAGACAATGCATCGTCAGACGAAGCTCTAGGATGCTCGATCTGTACTGAGGATTTTGAAAAGGGCCAGGATCTCCGTGTGCTTCCTTGCAATCACAAATTCCACCCAGAATGTGTAGACCCTTGGTTGTTGAACGTGTCTGGCACATGTCCATTATGGTAAGCTGCTCTTTGATGCACAATGCTTGGTATGCTAATTCCCATCAGCCGTGTCGACCTTCGTCCTGTGACTTCCCATGATTCCTCCACGTCACAAGATCAAAATGAGCTCGCCCCTCCTCTCAACCCTGAAGCCGATTCATCACATCGCCGCCGTACAGCGCTTTTCGACATCCTCTCTCTTCGTCATCGACCCAACGCATCACCCGAAGAACGGATTGGCGCTCTTCGGCGTCTGAGAGAGCAAGGCAGGAATCAAAGCGGTAATGTTGCAGCAGGCAGTGTCAATGCCAGCGCTGAGGATGTTGCCAGTTCGCGAGATAGGAGAAATAGACGCATCAGTGTCAGGCTAAGCGATGTCTTTACTGGTCGGACGAGAAGAGAGAGGCGGGATGAAAGCCCGGCACATCAAGTAGGACCAGACAGGAGTGAGGCGAACGCCACGTCTGATCATGCTGAACAAAGACCTTGAGTTGGGGCTGTGACGTGCCTTACGATATATACGATGCTTGTATAGTTCATTATTTGTGTGAGCGCTGAGCAATTAGCTCGTTCGGGAGTTTATCAATAGTTGTGCATTCTGCGGCGTTGCGGGATACCATATACTTTTAGCTAGGATATTTGTTGCATACCAATGAT